GAGAGAGAGAGAAAGAGAGAGAGCGGAGCGACGCGCAACAGGTGAGAAAACGTGGCGGCGGCCGCCGCGTCAGCTGACTCGCCGGGCGGCGAGCAGGAGGGAAGTAGTTTGTCTGATCTTGCTTGATCTTGGATATTCGGGGAATACACATCCTGTAACTGTGCCAACGGACACGGATGTGATGATACATGAATGTATCATCGCCGTTGCCCGATGATTCGCGTTCCTATTTCGTAGGCTGCTCGCCGAGAGGCGGCGCCGTCCCATATGACAGCTTCTCAAGTCACGTGGACATTCCGTACTCGGCTTCGAGATAGAGCGAGAGACGCCTCACACCGTAATTCGAGCACTCACGTTATTTTATTGCACGTTGAAGGCTATATTCACGAAGTTTAAATATCGAAATGTCACGTAAATATCTCGACTGGTAAAACATCCAATATGTTGTGCGTGATTTTATATTTGTATTCTATCAAAAATATTCTGTTAATATTAACTTTTGATTAAATTCATATATGTATAATATATACATATTATTATTTCATACATATAAGGTGCATCATAAAGTGTTACAACGAACTGTGCAAATTGTGCAAAAAGAATTTTCTCGCTATTCTTAATAATTTCAAAAAAACATCTTAGCTGCGATCGAGAAACGCGCTGTTAGCATTATCTTATCATTCCATTTGTAATTTACAACAATTTAATGGAACAATAAAAATGGAATAATATAATGGTGCTAATAATGGTGCTTCTCAAACATAGCCAAGATGTTTCAGAAATTATTAAAAATAATGAGGAAATTCTTTTAGCTTTTATGATTTATATAAGTTTTTTATATTCATTTGCTAACTTCTAATTCTACTAATTCTTAAAATTAACAAAAAAATAAAATAATAAGTTAAACTGAGATTTAAAGTTAATCTGTATTGATAGAAATGATCAACAGAACATTAAATGATAAACAGAACATTGCCATTGGTCTCTCCAAAAAGGAAAACAGATGATACAAAACAGATGATACTTAATTTTTTTAAATAAATTAATAACTTTTTAAAATAATAAATAATAATTTCATGCCTCAAATTATGGGAGAGTTCGACTTCGTTTTAAAATAAAGTTATCAAAAAACGAATGATTTATACGAGGGTGATTCGAAAAGTTCTCGGTCTGACATAGAAAGAACGCAAATTTGGCCAAATGACTATAATAATTTTCAAATATGATCCTTTAGCTAGCGTGCTGCAAAACTTCAGATTTGTGCGTTTATTTGTTTTTACGTCTTGATCGAGAAAAGAAGTACGTTTTCGCATTTTCTGAAAAATGGATAAAGTTGAAATTCGAGCGATTATGAAATACTTCGCTTTAAAGGGCTTAACTCCGATTGAAATTCAAAAGGAATTAGATTCCACATTAAAGGAGGCCTTTCCTTCGTTTTCGACCGTTAAAAAGTGGACAGTTGAATTCAAGTGGGGTCCATTGCAGATGATGAACGCTCGGGACGCCCAAAAACGGCCACTATCGACGAAAACGTATCGTCGAAAATTCATAATGCCGTTTTGAATGATCGCCGATTAAAGATACGCGAGCTTGCTGACATGACTAGCATCTCTATAGTCCGTACGTATCCACAATATCTTGCAAGAAGTTTTGGGGATGAAAAAGCTTTCCGCTCGATGGGTACGATTGTTGACAATGGACCAGAAGCGCGTTCGCATGACCGTTTCAAGAGTGCTTGGATTTGTTTAAATGATGATTCCACGGAGTCTCTTCGGCGTTTTATAACAGTAGATAAAACATGAATTCATCATTGATGAGGATTTCTTAAATGATGAAGTCATAGCCGTGACAACGGCTTATTTTGCAGAATTAGATAAATCTTATTATACCGAGGGCATAATTAAAAAGTTAGAAAATTGACGAAATGTATAGCACCGCAAGGTGACTATGCTGAAAAATAAAAAAAAAAATTTTCTGGAAAATCTTGTGTTTTCCTTGTTTGTTAGGCCGAGAACTTTTCGAACTACCCTCGTAAACTTTCATGTTAACATGTCGAAATAAAATACAAAATATCTTATAAACACTTTACTTTTTGATAATACCTTAATATTTTTATATACAGATAAATGAATATGAGATGAATTAATTGTATAAAAAAATACTCAGTTGTTTAAAAAAAAAAATATGCAAATTGCATATTGTAAATTGCAGTTTTATCATTTTCAAATAGATTCGGTAAGGAATAATGTTCGTTACGAAACAACTTGCTAACAGATACGTAACACGAGCAGATTGTTGATCGATTAATAACAAGAGAACTGCGCGAATTGACTCTCATCATTTATCACTAGTCTAGTAAATGAGAAAATCGATGATAAATAATGAGAAAACGGCGCACACGTGTGATTGTTTACTTTGATGTAAACGTCTTTAAAGCGGATAGCTAGTGAACGATGGGTTCATACACGGCGAATACTCGATGACGAATATACGAGGATTGTCGTGGATGAAGTAACGCACGTTGGCGTAGTGTCAGTGTTGCAACTGCGTAAGTAGCGATTATTTCGCTACTTCGTGGAAAAAAAAACACTTGATTTTTACGATTATATTTTGCCGCCCGCGAAATGGCGAGACGAAGAGCAATTCCCGTTTTGCAGTCGTGGTAACGACGAAAAAAGATTTCGACGTCAAACGATAAAAATGCTACGTTGCGTTTGCACATTTTTTTTTTTGTTACATGATTATCTTACAATCATCTGAAGATTATTGCATTAAAAAATACCGTTGAAAAAAATCGATGAAGTTTCTCTCTCTTGATTCGACGCGACTAACCTACGCTGACGTAATGCTAATTTTACGTCAGCATAATTTACGATACTCATAATTGCAATATTTTTCTCCTCTATTTCAAACTCATTCTACGATTTCGTTCGATATATTATCGTTTTTTTTTTTTACGCTTGGATGCTCGCAGAATCGCAGCGATTTTCGCACCCGTGTCACGTCGCGAACGCGCGATTTGCGACTTGATTCGCGTACGTGAAATACTTACGAAAACTCAGAAAGAGCGGAGAATCCTTGAGGCCGCAGAAATTATGAAGGATACAGCGCGCTCTTCCTGCGCAATGTATGTACATACGTAGGCTCGTGGAGCTCAGAAGGAAGTTGTCTTCCTTCTTGTTGAATCGTCCTTCTCGATTCGGGCGAGTGACAGCTCGGTGACGAATCGCTTTCGCTGACAATATTGCTAGCGAATAATGCCGCAATTCTGAGTAAATGTACAAATAAATCGTAAAATCAAACGTAATAATAACGCTTGTAACAAAAACAATTGCGAGAAATTGTAGTTTTATGTAAACTGCAATTCTGTACCAGCATCATCTTTGCTCATTGTTATATGTTTATAGCATTAAACTACATTCTATCTGAAATGAGAATAATATCAGTCAAGTTTGTAAATTAGACGATATAAAATAAGATTATTTTGTCCTTGTTTTCTATAGTATTTCTGTCATCTTTATAACAAATGAAAATCTGTATTATGTCTTGTGTCCACGATGCTGGAAATCGGTCCGAGATCTCGGATGGAAAGAGAATTGACCAATCGCATTGGTTGATTGGCCGAATTATGACCAAACGCAATTGGTCAATTCTCTTTTCATCCGAGAATATAGTTCGATGGTCTATAGTTATGATGAATGATTAACTTCAAGTTGCATATTGAATTGTCATTTGAAAATTGTGCATAAAAAATTAATTGAAACGAAAATTAATTGAAATACTTCGTTGTTGTTTTAAACGAAAAGTATGTAAGTATTAATTATTAAGCTTTATATGTAATTTAAAAATTGTTTAACTTATCCAGGTTAATAAATATTCCAGATTCAAATCTTAAGTGATATTTTTCGCGTTAAGAATTTCTTGTCCAGAGAGTAAGAAGGGGGGGGGGGGAGGATTAATCAATATCAATTAATTTAAAATTATCAATTTATTTAAAAAAAACAAAATATAATATTTAGCTGCGGGCCACTACATTTCAAATTTAAAAACAACGGCATATAATTGGCGACGAAAAGTAATTGTCCTTGAATTTATATAAGTTAAAAAATAAAAAGATTATTAGAGTCCAAAAAATTCTACCTTATCAAGTAATGTCAATATTCTGTATTAAAAAATTTTTTATTTAAAATTTGAAATTTAAGTAAATTAAGTGACTCATATAAAAGACAAATTAATAAAGATATAAAGGCTAATGAAACTTACAAATACGTAAGTTAAGAAACCGTTTATTTTGTTTATAAAAATATCACGGAACATTTCGACTTAACAAAATCTTCTTCAGCCGTATAATCCACTTATGTAAAAATTAAATCATACGTGTAATATTGATAAAGTAAATAAAAAATAAAAAATAGAGATGAATAATAATAAGACCGGCAAACATGTAACATAAATTTAGCAGTATATCGTTGTCATGTTACATAAAATTCTTTTGGAACTATCAAGTAAATAATTGAAAACGAGAATTGCTCAATTTTTGTGGATGTTAAGCTCGTGATAATGTCCATAATTGTTTCTTTAATCTATTTGCGAAAAAAAAAATTAAATTTGGTATTTGAAAATTTCAATTTCGTCGTAATTAGATTTCATAAATAACTTTATTTGGAAGAAATGATTAATACTATATGAAAAAAACCAAATAACAAATTGTATTTTAGTTGATAAATTTGCGCAACGAGTTATAAGATCTATTGCAAAATATATGTATTCGTTAACTTATTTTAATTTTTATTTAAAAGTTTAGATCGTCCTAATCATTCACTATCTTTAAGCAAATTGAAAAGTAACATAATATACAGGCCCTGTAAAAGTTGTTTTAATAAACATGTTTGTT